AGTTAGGCCTGTTCAGGACTACATTAGCTGGAGTATTTTACATGTGCATGTTCAGTGGTTTCTTCCAGAATTCCTCATCTATGGCTCTTATGCCATGTCCCCCAGGAGACAGCCTGGGTGACATGGGTAGGTCATGTGGTAACCTTGCATAGCTTAAGAGTAAAATTAAACTAGTAGTTACTACTCACATATCTAAAATACCCTATAACCCATAAAGGCCTTGTTATAATGACTAACTGTCTGAAACTTTTCCCCTTCTTGTCTCATAGAGTGTTTACGATGCTGCTTTTGTGTATGCAGTAATCATCATAATAAACTGTCAGTAGGAACAGTGGTGTGTGGGCGCGGAGGACTCCAGCCTGAGGGGGGGGTAAGAGAGGAGCGTTTAGTGCAAGATGGACAGATGTGCTGCCTGTGCGTTTCACAGTGTCTCCCTTTAGCAACACACATGTCAATCCATTAAACCTTACTTTCACTGCCGTATTATCTTGCTGTGTTATGTCACAGTTCTCATCCCCTGTATTCTCCCTGACAAACTACGCTCATATCCAGAGTCCCACATCTGGTAGTTTTTTTATAATTCTATACAATACTGTGGTTGGAGTAGGCATGTTGGATAGTGTTGTGGGATCAGCACTGACACATCTGCACAAACATCAGAGGAGAGCAAGAGGAGGGGTATTTTAGACAGTCAGATTAGGCTCAGGTCAGGAGACAGAGCTGAGCGTGGCAAGCAGACAGGGTTTTGGAGATGTTTTCTTTTTATTGGGACTGAATCAGACTTTGTGATCTGAGCCACAGGTGAAGCTGAAGGCTTGAGGTAGAGATTTGGATTTTTAAAGTAAAAATGGAAGATATTAATTCTTTGGTCCAGGGTCCGAATGTTCTGTCTGGCAATAATAAGATGCGCTCACATTTTTTTGTGTAAAGCAAATCCGGGAAAATCATCTGTTCTGACTGTAGCGACTTTGCTGGCAAGGAATATTTACCATATTGGTGGAACGGTGGCTGTACCACAAAAAATCAGGCTTCCTCATTGTGGTAAGTTGACAAGACAATTGTATATTTGTGAATGCTCAAAGCTTTGTTGTTCCTGCATGACTTGAATTTAGCAATCTCATGTTCATGGACAAAACCAGTATAGCATAATGCTATGTGACATAACTTAAAACCAGCAAGATGCTTGTTTTAATGAGCCATTACATTAATTACATGCACGAGCAGTGTGTATCATTTATGTTATTTTGAGCATGTTGTTGAATAGCCTAGAAAAGGTTACTTGTGCATAAATTGTGATGCATTTGGCCAGTCGAGCAGAAGTGATAAATGTTACCAACAGCAAACAAACCCATGGACTACACCAGGTGCGACATTCTTATATTTGCCATATTATTTTCAATAAAAATATAGTATTTAACTTGAACTGGATGCTGGGCTAGGGGTTGCCTTATGTCACATGAATAGTGCATGAAGGCAGATGCTGCTGCATATGAATGTAGTTATGAATACATTATATTGCATGCAGTCATCAACCTTAACAGAGATCTGGTCAAGGGTGAAAAATCCTTTTAAACTCATTATAACAGAAATGAACCTGCCAAGAGAGAAATGCAGCATTTGAGTTACAGTGCAGGATGGTATAAAGACAGAGTACAGAGATTCAATTGGAATGATCAACGGAGAACTAACACGAGGCTGTATATTTTGTTACCATGCCCTGGCCGGTACTGTGCTGATCTAAGTGAGGAAGAGCTTTGTTCACGACACTATCAGAGCATCGCCCCTGTAACTAAACCTTATTAAAATATGTTTGAATGGCAAGAGGCGCTGCGTCGGGACGTACCTTTGATGTGTCCTCTAAAGATGATAAGCTTATTGACACAGACAGACTAATAAGTATGGACAAGCAGGCTGCTATTTTAAGAAACTGACAACTCTCAGACATCAGATCATTGATAGAAATACAAAAGTGAGTCAGCCATAACCAAATTAAATTAACTAACCACACTATAAAGTTAGAATATTGTGGTAGTAGGTAATGCCCGATTAATTAAAATCCTTGTTCTTCTTTTTAGGATTGCCTAAACAATTCATCATCAGGCCATGATTTGCATTGGTTGAAATATGGAAATTGTTTTATATCAGGTACCCTTCATCACACAGCCATTTATGCATGTGGACTATTTTGCACCAATGAAACTATAGTCCTATGAAAAACATGGTCTATGAGAGGACTGTAGCATTACTTCTATTCCTGCACACATCAAAATCCACACTGACTCACTGACTGACTTACCTCTCATATGTTAACTGTAAATTATCGATCAGTGAGCACATGGTTGGTTACATGTAATAACTGTGCACTCTCAATTGGGCAGTGTATGAGAGGTTTGCTTTGAGTATTACCTTTGACTCAAATGAACAGAGTTGTTCCCTGGAGCTGATTGAGTGTGTTCAATACTCAAGTAAACCCACATTTGACATTCATCTATAATGAAACTGTCAGATGATTGTCTTATTCTCCCTCAAAAAAAGGATGTCTTTTTTCTCCCAAGTTTACAATACCAAAGGGAAATTCAGTGTCACACATATTTTGGATGAATTATTATTAGTAAGTTATGTAATTACTTGATGTGCACCTACTAAAATGGCACAAATTATCAAAAAGCTTTGTGAAATGACTTTTCTCATGTATTACACGTTGAGCATATTTCCAGCAAAATCCAAATATCAAAGCAGCTATCAGCAAATTAATTATGTAAATTAGTTTTATATTATTCTTGCCCATAGTGGTTCTTACATATCCAGTACTAGTTTCTGTGCTTGAGTACTTGTACTTATGTAGTAAATTTTGTGTGTTATAATACTATGTTCATCAATATTGATTTCACACTTCTGCTGTATGTTTTTTTTTCCTCAAAGGGGCTTGAAAAATGTTTAAATCTTCCAGGAATTCATGGCCTTTTCACACTTTTTTTCTAATGTAGTATTGCCTTTTAATGCTCAACATGCTGTGTGCTTTTGGTGAGAGATTCCCATTAGTGATACCTTTGAAGTCTTCACGCTTTACACTTTATCTTTTAAGATTACTTAAGTGAACGCAACTGCAGTGGATGCTCACAGAGGACAGTGTATGTTCATAGGTCTAAAAATCTGTTTTGTTGAAGCGCAGATCTGACAGCTGTTTTAGCCAACATTATGTAATGGACCAGATTAAAATTTTTTGAGTCAAGCACCTTGAAAGTGGTTGTCCTTTAAATAATGAACAACCCAAGAATGAGCGTGCATGTATTTTGTTAGTTGTAGCCAGACATACTAGTAGACCAGAAAGGAAGAGTGCATGGATCTTAGTATAATAACTCCAAATATGTGTGGCCTTAGTTAATAGTTTACCTGACATTGTGGTGGTCAGAATGATCAGGGGTCTCACTGATAAAACTTCAAGTGGAATTACCTTAACTAAAGAGTGCGTAGTCACAAAATGTTACAAACTTCTTCAAACTATTTTTCTTTGCAAAGATCTCTTTCTCTCGTCTCTGAAAGTCCTGATGCCCAGAGTTTTTGTTTTTATAGATCACAAACGTAACAGAAAACTTTTTTTTTTTTTTTTTTCGCTTAAATCAGACCCTTGAGTTGTTGTATATATAATCTCCAAATTAACCACTGAACACCATTTAGATAACTAAGCACAGAAGTCACTATTATGCTCTAAAAGGCACAGAGAGACAAGAAGATTTAGGCAATTTCCCTTCAACAGTTAAGACTAATTTCACTGTCACAGAATCTTGGTCTGTAATTGGATGGCAACCATTAAGCTGAGTAATTTGAAGATGTGAATATTTAAATTTTGCCTCAGATCATTAATATTGCAAATAAGCTGCTGTCATTTTATATGTAATTTCAAGTGGTTTTCTCACAGTTCTTTTTTGAATACTTCCACAGTTAGAATCACTAGTGTACACTTGAGCAGATGGTAATTAGTGATAATAAATGGATTTTCTGGACGTCACAGCAGGGCTCTGAGAATGTGCTGATGGGCAAAACAACAATGCCTTGTTATTCTCATGAACACTACACTTTTGGAGGAAATAATCTCCACTTCCTGTCGACAGGCCTGCCCCTTTCTGATGTGATTATGTAAGACATTTTGGTATATTTCTGTGTAAATCCTCTGAACCAAACCTTCTATATTAAGAGTATGAGTATTCACGCAACAGACTCCGCTGCTAATGAGGTAGTGATCCTCATGGCTCTTTGCTGTCATCCAAGTCTGCACCAGCTGTGAGGATAAGTTTGAGTGGTTATAGTGAGTTCTAAGCACTAAAAGAGTACAAATACAAAAGAGACAACACATCTGCAATAACTAGAAAAAATATGTGCAGTAATTGATCTCTCTGTTAGAACATTCTCTCACACTAATACTTTTTGCCAGGTTCCAAATCAGTTTTGTGCATATTGAATCCCAGATGCCATTGAGAACAGAGAGGTGGTTCTTAATGAATCCAGTTGTGGGTTGACTCTGGCAGTTCAATGTTTACCAGAGCCAGTTTTATCAAGGGAGACAAAAACAAAGGCAGAACAACAGATTTCAGCAGTCCATGCCAATGAGATTTTATTTGCCAGTAATACAAATGTTTTGTTTAGTCAGATATGACTGATTGTCTTGTACTCCCATTATTGCATTTGAGCAGTTATTAAAGTGTAAGTAACAGCTCTGTATGCGGTTATGTGACTTGATTAACTGGCAGAAGACTGAAGTTTGCACTGATCCATATCCCGACTGAGACTGTCAGATAGACCAGCACAGACCCGTCCTGTGTGAGCCCACAGTAGTGCCTCTGTGAGCACTTGGAAAAAGAGTCTCCTCAGCTGTGGCCATGGCTAATTGCACCACACTACCCCTCTTCCCACTGCTTCCTGAGCTGCCTCGGAGTGAGGCACCTGTTACCTTTGTGTCTTTATATAGTGGCCCTCTGATCCCTGTTTGTCTCTGCAGTGGAGCGATGCATGAGTGTGATGCAGTCCGGGACACAGATGGTGAAGCTCAAGGCAGGGTCCAAGGGGCTGGTGAGGCTCTTTTACCTGGACGACCACCGCTCCTGTATCCGCTGGAAGCCCTCACGCAAGAGTGAGAAGGCCAAGAGTGAGTACACCTGCAGTCATCAACAAATACACACCACTCTTTGCATATACAAGCGTACATTATGCACACACAAACAAGCAGCCTGTCCTAATCTGTTGTTTACGCATTATAAACTGCCAGACTATCTTTAGTAGAATGAAGGACTATTTCCAATTCAATCAAGGCTAAGCAGTAACACATCTCACTCTATTCACGTAACGACTTAACCAGGCTCCTTTATTGCATTGCTGCAAATGGATGTCAACATTAGCACCTGAAGTTAAATAAACTAAAAGCAACAACTAGCTACAACTACCATAAAACATATATCTTAGTTGTAGCTTTGCCCAGACTTATCATAAATACTGACATTACAAAGTACACAACATATTAATCACACTCATTGTTTTCTGTTGTTCTATTGCATGTCACATCTTTATCATAACAAACAGCTGCATGGTACAAAAAGAGCGCTGCACTGCACTGTATTCTCTAATGCGCAAATGTCATTTCTGAGAACATCTCATCAGTGCAAATACTAGCAAATATTTCTGAGAATACAGTTTGTTCTAAAAATTGTGCTTTTGAGAGATTATATTTTTACACTGTTGACCTTAGTCACCTTTGAGTCGAGTGGTTTTATGTATCAGCCCACCACTGTCAAGTAGGATTGTTTAACCATGAATGTGCATATGTGTGTGGGGGTTGTCAGCATAAGCCTCTTTGATCCTCTCCTTTGACATTATTAAGAGAAGCATACAACAGATGCCCATTGCTAGGTTTGTTTGTGTTTATTGTCAGTCATATTGTGAGTTCAGACGTAGTGAGATTAAAAAGGGAGAAGTTAATACTCATATTTGAAAGAAAAATGACAACTTGCAATAAAAGATGCACCAATCCATCTTTCATAAGATGGATTGGTGTCATAATATTGATACTATTGCTAATTCTCAATACTAATTGATTGCCTATGTAGAGACATTTCTTAAAATATAGCAAACATGGTTTAAAGCTTGCAAAAGTCAGTGTTGTTGTTACTTAAAACTGCATTTTGATGGAAGCCAAAATATACTCTCTTGGGTATCCCAAATTACCTCATTATCATTTTGTTACAAAAAAATGCTGTATTTTTGGTAGGTGGTTAGAAAACAACATGTTAAATGTGTAAGAGACAACGATAAACACGCTTTAGTTGGTCCTTTGTCGAAATGCAAACCTGATGATGATTTACCTAGAGTTTTTTCCACACATAAACAAACCTGCCGGCATTACAATCCTGTGAGACCAGGAAGAACTCTAAGAAAGAACTACTAAAAAGGCAAGTCTATTTTTGACAAAGTTGGGTTCTTAATCCGTCCTTTCAGCCATAGATACTGTATTGTGCAAAACGTTTTGCCATGTTTTAAGCTCTGACATAGAAATTAAGATGGGTTTAAAATGGCTATGAATTAGGGCTGTACAATTAATCACAACTGAATCAGAACTGCGGTTTGCTATTATCAAATCACAAAGGCTGCAATTAACCATGTAATAGAAAAAAATTTCTTCTGAAAACAAAATGTGCCTTTCTATATAATGTCAATGCTCCTGGGCATGTGTACTCTGAAAATAATTATCATTTTAACACATACATTGAATATATATAAAAAAAAGTTCAGGCTGATAATGAGGGGTGTTAATTCTCTCTCTCTCTGTCTCTCTCTTTCTGTCTGTCTCTCTCTCTCTGTCTCTCTGTCTCTCTCTCTCTCTCTCTCTCTCTCTCTCTCTCTCTCTCTCTCTCTCTCTCTCTCTTCCCCCCCACACACACATGCACACACACACGCACATGCACAAAATACATGGGACATTACACTAACTTATTAATTTCTTGGACACCCATCTTATCCTTACCATTGTCACTACTTGCTTAACCATAACTTTCAAACTTAACCTTAACCTATTTTATGTGATGTTTGACCTGTAAAATCATGAAATTGAGCTAAAAACGAAACATAAGTAGGACTTGTTTTTTTGTTTCACTAGATGTGAGTGTGTATACAGATTTTAGTGATAAATACCCACCAACAAGTTCTTATTTCTATTTCTAAAAGCATTATTCATGGCCATTACCCTAGTAACACAATTTTGCAGTGTGCAGCGTGTAACCATATTTTACCTTAGTTTTGTTTTATCTATTTTTTAGTCACCATTGATTCGCTGTACAAAGTGACAGAGGGAGTTCAGTCGGACATCTTTCACCGTCAGGCAGAGGGCAGTCTGGATCCTGCCTGCTGCTTCACCATCTATCACGGAAACCACATGGAGTCTCTGGATCTGGTCACATCCAACTCAGAGGAAGCTCGGACCTGGGTCACTGGCCTGCGTTACCTGATGGCTGGGATCAGCGATGAAGACTCTCTCGCCAGACGCCAACGAACACATGATCAATATCCTTGAAAAATAACACTTTGTTTTTCACTGACATTATTAAATCACAATATCCTCCATGTCCTTCATTCTCATACAAACTAGATTGTGTTTTTAATTAATTTCATGAAAGGATGAATACAAATTTTAATCATTTTGTAATCATAAGTCTGTAGCTTCTCAGATAGGAAAAGGATGTTAAGGCAACCACAGATAAAATAGGTATCGCTGGTAGAAAAAGAAAACACGCACAGCTCATTGTCTTTCAAAACAGGGTTATAAGTAAATCATATTAGGAAAACTTTTTTTTTCTTAATGATTTCAACGTGGATGAAGCAGACATTTGAAGAGGCCGATAAAAATGGTGATGGTCTTTTGAACATCGATGAAATTTACCAACTTCTCCACAAGCTCAACGTCAATCTGCCACGGAGGAAAGTTAAGCAAATGTTCCAGGTAAGTCCAACAGTTAAACAGCTGGAAAAAAAAAGACATGTTTCTTTAAAGGGCCCATATTACACTATGTTTTGATCTATGTTATAATGCTGTTACCTCCTCAAAAACATACCTGGTGTTGTGTTTTGTTTTATGCACACCTTTAACACACCAACTCCACATATTAAGGTTGAGTTCTTCTCTCAAACAGAAAACACTGTGTTCCACCTTGTGATGTCATGTGGTAATAAAAGAATCCACTCCATACACCTTCACTTCAATCATTTGGATGATTTCAGCCCCAGAATTCCAAATCTCTGCTAAACTAAACTTAAAAGGAGCTGTTAAATTGATATCTGTTGCTTCATGACATCACAAGGTGGACCAGAGCATTTTGAGCTTTGAAGGTGTAGACAGTCTCAAACATGTGTGAATGAAACAAAACACAACTCCAGATATGTTTTTGAGGAGGTAACATCATTATAACATGGCTTAAAACTCACAAGAGTCAGTTTTGTGTAATATAGGACCTTTAATAATAATTGTATAATGATTTCAGAGAATATAGCAACAGTTTCTTTGGTAATTCAGTCAGTCTACTTTTTCAGCAAATGCACTGTATTCAAGTCAGCTATATCTTGTGCTTATGCAATATTATATTACATATGTTGACTCCCTTCTTGTTGCCATTGTGCTTGTAAATAGGCAGCATGCACTACAATGGATAGCAACAAGGTGATATCAACTTTCCCTTGGGCTTTTCCCACCATAGCATTCACTCTCCTTAGGCATGTACTGAAATGCTTTGTATAATATGGCTTATGTTATCTGATGCCCTTCCATCACGTGATTATATAAATGCATTTATTTATTTGAAATTAAGAACCATCTTTTATCATAGAACACAAAACATTTATCAGATTACCATTGCAAAATGTACTACTTGTTATAAGATTACATAGCAGAAAAACTCTTTTTGATCTAAGTTTAATAGTTGGATATTGCATAGGTGTTGACAGCTTGTATGCTTAAAATACCCTCCATCAGTCTGTTTGCTGCCCCAACTGGGAACGAGGTGAATTCCAAATATAGTGATTTATCCTGGCTCCTGTTTGTAGATTTGTGTGTGTCTATGTCTGTGTCTGTGTGTGTGTTTTGTGGGGTTTCTAGAGCCCACCGCCAGCTCATTACTGGAGTGTGATGGAGGCATTAGCTGGTATTATTAGATTTGGTGTGGATACGAATAGACCCCAGTGAAAATGCAGGCAATATGAGCTTCTGGATCCTAAAGAAAGGTGACAAGGCTAGAATGAGCATCCTGTATATGTGTGTCTTTTGGCCAGATGTAGGTTAAAGGATACAGAAGGAGAATAGGTAGAAAGTAATACAGCAGCAGCCTTTGTGTTGTTATGGTAGATGTGTTTCTAAAGCTAAAAATGGGAGGTAACGATGACTGTTGGCACATGTGAACATCTGCTCCCCGCCTGTGCACACTTCTGAAACGTCTGTAGCCAAACGTCTGACCTGACAGCAAAAAAGCTCTCAGTACCAACTGTCAATAGAATGGTAATACAATGCTGTATTACACGTACAATTAAGTACAAAGGACTTCCACTGAGATTCTATTTTTTACCAGACACTGGATCTTTCCACATCCCTGCGAAACACAGCAGTTGTATTGTATTGCTAAAGATCACTTGTATGACAGGCTCTTTTGTTGAAACCATTTTGATAAGATTTACCTCAATATTTTATTGGAAAGTATGTCAGCCTGGTTACCTGAATATTGTAATTACTTTCAGTCTCAGTGGCACCCTTAAAGGAAATAAGCGATAGAAGATTTCAGAATGAATAATCAACAGCTCATGTTGCTTATTATAAAGTTGTCTCAAGTTGTCTTCTTAATATCTTTGTAGTGCCTAAAAGTGCTGACTTCCTGTTGGTGAAATCACTTTCTATGCCAGTGCATCCTTCACACCACAATATTAAAAAACCTGTTATGCAGACTGTGGCATTTTTATAATCTTTGCAAAACCCTTATTACTTAGATCACACACTAAGCTGTTGTTTTTAGCACCTACCCAGTCACCAATATAGTCATTCATTTCATTTTTCACAGGAAGCGGACACAGATGACCAACAGGGCACACTGACGTATGAGGAGTTCTCCGTCTTCTATAAAATGATGTCAATGAGGCGAGACCTGTTCCTGCTCATGATGGCTTACAGTGAGAGAAAGGACCACCTAAATACAGAGGAGCTAGCCACCTTCCTGCGCAATGAGCAGAAGGTGAGCCTTCTATTTCCACTGTTACAAGCCTAAAGCCTTAGTTGAAATATTTTTGTTAGACAGGGCATAGATAGACATGACACCCTAATAACGAGTGTCATTCGAAGATCCAACCACTTAGTCTACAATGTATTAGTCACTTGTCACACTGTCTGCCCAGCCTGTTCCTCTTAGATAATCTCTCAGGCCTAAAATGACTCTGTCTCGGAGGGGCCCTTGTCTTGTCCTCTACAGCAATTTAATTTTTCCCAAGGAGTTTTTGCCTCCTCATGTTCTTGTCAACAACATTAGATTCATTATGTTTTATCAACTGGTATTATAGCATAATCAGGTCTAAATTATGTTAATTTAATGGGCAGAGTTAATTTTAATGAAACATGTTTCTGTTTTTGCAGATGACAAATGTGACACCAGAGTTTGTAGCAGAAATCATTGAGAAGTTCGAGGAATCTACTGAGAACAAACAAAGGGGATATTTGGGCATTGAAGGTAACCCATTAAGGCTTAGATGTACAGGTTTACAAAATGAAATACATCAATTTTAATTATACAAATATATTTTCATGTAAATTGTCAGATAGATCCTTTCACTAAAATTGGAAAAGAAGATGAGGCAATCCCTCTTTCACAATTGCTAAGTGTCTGTGACAGTCTTTTGTTGTTATTTTGGTTCATCACACTGGAATCCTATTAAAAACAAGACAAAGAGTGTATAAATGGATTCACTGTGGAAGCAGTGTGTATTGGCACATGTGACAGGGGTGTTTTGGAGGAGACAGACACTTCACATGGAGCTGAGATGAAGGGTGAGACTAACGCTGTGCTTTCAGGGTTAACTTTGCTTGTGTCAGACCAGGACACCTTCCCCCTCAGGCTATAATCTGACAACCACATACGTACAAAAGGATTTTCATGAACATCTTAGAAGTTCACCCACCAAAATGTCATTATTTTACATGTAGTCTGATCCTAGATTTTTCTTCTTATATGTAATTTCACAATCATTTATTTTCTGTGTATCTCAATTTCTTTTTCTGTCCTTGACTCTTTATAATCACAATTACTTTGGTCTTCTGAACCTCTTGCTCATACTGTTCCACCTCAAGGCAGAGTACCTTTAAAACACACCACCAGTCGCTTCAGTCCCTTCCAGCAGCTGGTTACTGTGAATTCTGCATGTTGCTCAAAAACGTTGTTGTATTTTTCAGGATTCACAAGTTTCATGCGCAGCCCAACATGTGACATTTTCAACCCTTTGCACAATGAGGTGAACCAGGATATGGAGCAGCCTCTCTGTAACTATTTCATCGCATCCTCCCACAACACATACTTGACTGGGGACCAGCTCCTGTCGCACTCAAAGACAGACATGTATGCCTGGGTCCTACAGTCTGGTTGTCGCTGTGTAGAAGGTACCCATTTGCATCGAAAAAATCTGTACTGAGACATGTTTCTGTGGTTGTGGAAATGTTGTTTATCAATATCTGTTTTGCATAGTGGACTGTTGGGATGGTCCTGATGGAGAACCAATGGTCCAACATGGCTATACTCTCACATCAAAGATCCCCTTCAAGTCTGTCATTGAAACCATCAATAAGCACGCCTTTGTGAACAACCAGTAAGTGAACCATTTTCTCATGATTTTTCACCTTTTTCATCTTAAAATCTGTCACTTTATCATGCGAGTTATTATGAGTAAGTGATTGTCCTGCGTTAAGGTTAAAGATCCATTGTTTAACTTTTCTAGTGGAGGGTCTGTCAAATGCTTTTCTCTGGGGAGACCACACCAGATCAAGTTACAGGTCAGATCTGCAGAGAGGCCACCATGCTCATAGTCAGAATGCCTTTCTTTGAGTTACATTTCAACATTTCAAGCAGAGCAATGACATATCCATGGAAACAAGCAGATGACCTACGCCCAACAAAAAAGTTACATAATCCATCCTTAAGGCATATACCCCATGAGGGAAATTCATTCACTGCATTTGACCCATCTTTCAATGCTGCTGAGAAAACCTGGGGCAGTGAGTCGCCGCAGTACTAGCTATGGCAATTTGCTGATAACATTATGCCAAATGACAAGTGGTGCATATCACAGATTATCTTTTCATCATGTAAGTGTATGGATTGTTTTAACAGCCAAATTGTAATGGCTAGATAACTAGGTCAGAGCCAAAAGTGGTGTTCACGTGAAGTGAGGTCCATGGAAGGGGAAGTGGTTTAAGTAGATGTTCAAAAATTGTTTCAAACTCACGTATAGCTATGTAACTTGTTTGTAAGTGGGTACAATGTTTTAACACTGTGAATCCTGGCAATAATTACTGTCCCATCTGCTTCCTGTGATTCCCTAAGGAACTCCTGTTTGTCTCTGCTGAATCAAACGATACCCAAACAAAGTATTCTGCTGCCACACTGGCTTAATTTAGCAACCATCTTTTCTATATTGTGAATCTAATCTATAACAAATCCTAAAGTGGTGATCTTGAAATATCTTGTATGTTGATGAGAGCCACTGAACAACCTTTTTTGAACTTGACTGTGTTTAAAAGAAAATGTCATAATACCAACCAACACTGCATTGAATGTTGGAAATGATTGTAGCTAGACCTTTAATTAGCATTCCATACAAGCAGGCATGATTTTGGTGTAGAGAGTGATTAATAGTTGTATAAAACAAACATGGCTTTCAATATAAATTTCATGAACATAACTCATTCAGACTTTTTATCATTGGTATTTAACACACCGAACTCTGCTTCAAAACCACATTGTTTTATTTACAGTGGATTAGCTGTAGACCTCTCATTACCCAAGCATATGACTGGTGATTAGAATTGACAAAATCTTGAATATCTAATTCAAATGTTTTAATAAAATGGCAGTATTTGATGTAAGCAGATGTTTTTCTCATAGCTAAAATTATTGTTCAGTAAGTAAATAGTCAAGGTCTCTAATTAAGAGAAACCTGTGTATTCCCAGCTGCAGGTTGATGAACCATTTGAAATAACAGTATGTGTTGAATAACTGATTAAATTTCAAACCCTATCCTACTCCAGCTGCTTCATATTTTATCAGTAGCACCACCTGATAATGTGATTAATAGCCTGAGGATGGTATCGAATAGACAGGACATACACATTGCTAGTCTCCAATCACAGGGATCACTGGGCTCTCCTGGAACTTGCCACTGTCTGATTTCGGCTGTTGCAAAAGCAAAAAGGACTTTCCACTTGAGAGTTTGTGTGAGCGTGGATCAGAGGCTGTGTCCCCTGAGGCAGAGCTGTCAGTCTGACAAACCTGACATTTGAGCTGCATTTCATTGTGGCCACAAGTCATTTTGCTGTTTCTGAATACAATCTCTCACACACACACAACTGTGGTTGCACATTAGGCATAAACACACACTAGTACAAGCAGCTCGTAGCACTATTTGTGTGACCATTTACTGTGTACTCCATAATATAAAGGTTAGAAGGTTAAAAGTGATGCTTAGATTGTACTGTAACTTGTACTTGTAATGTTGTGTCTAGCTAAAATAAACATACATGTAATGAAACAAGTAGTAAACTAGTAGAATATGTCAAAAAGTAATAATTTGGGTTTATGTTTTCAGTTCAACACATCCTTCTTTAATCATCCATTATCTTGAAGGGACTAAGAATTAGCAGTTATTGCTCAACTCAGTTTCATGTGTTAATGGATAACCACCAGGCACAACAGTATTACCGCTGACAGGTACAGTTAATTATTGCCATAGTGGCATATTTGAGGTTGTGATATTAGGATGCAAATGTAATATTTCTTCCTGTGTATTGAAATACTCAAATACTCATACTCAACTGGAGCAGGGCATCTCATACTCTGCAGCACCTGTGATTCTGTTTTGCAATTGCTCATTTTAACCATGGACCTGATATTATGGACCTGTTATTAAGCATTATTTTTTCTGGTTTCAGGTTTCCAGTAATTCTTTCCATAGAGAACCACTGTAATATCCAGCAACAGAAGAAAATCGCCCAGTACCTGCGAGAAATCTTTGGAGATAAATTAGACATTGGACATGTGTTGACGGGAGACTCCAGAACGTTACCAAGTCCTCAGAGTCTTCTGGGCAAGATACTCATTAAAGTAAGTCATGATCTTGTGAGACAGATGGAAACTGGCTTATGCTTTAAGTCCATCCATGAATTCCTGTTTGATGCTCCAACACTCTTAAATAAGCCATTTTGTGCACACGCCTACCACTTCTGTGTGTCAGAAGAGAGAAAAGAAGTGCTCATTATCTTTGTACTTATTTTTACATTACAAGCGTGGCGGCTCTAAGAGTGCAGCAGGCAGCTAATTATTTTCCATAAACAGAGAAGATAAGAGAGAGGAATGAGGAGAGGCATACTGGTCCATCACAATTATATAGGTGAAAGGCGGAGACATGACATATATGTAAAATGCAATTCTAGCCTGCAAGGCTATGATTAATACCTAACAAAATTATAGCGTGGTATCTCCTGATATCAATCTGTAATATGGAATAAAAAATGTGTCTCCAAGTGGTGACAGTTTAAAACTGCTAAATCCTGTATTTTAGGTTCTGAAATTAAATGAGCTCATGACAGGATTATGAATGTAATGTTGTAAACCTGACATAGAACCTTTATGAGGAATAAAATCCAGTATGTAATCCTTTTCTAATTGCACTCATTAAAATAATTTGCACCCTTCTGAAATGCAGGTTGCAGTGATTAGAAATAATGGGTTATAAATAATGCAGTATCTATTCTATAAAACATCATAACAAGGAGCATCCAGATTGTGAGTTCAGTCCTTGGTCACACCATTGTAATCACTCTAGAAGTATGTTCTCCCTGTATTACCATTAGTTCTATTTCAGTTCTCCAGCTTCCAAAAACACATGACACAAGTTAATTGGTGGCTCTACATTTCCTTTAGTGAATTCATTTTGAGATAATTGGCTTGTGTCTCTTTATCAGCCTGGCAGAGTGGCCATCTACCAGTTTATGGCCCAAAGTTACTGATACTGGGTTTATAAATTATCTGGTACATTGAATTTGAGTGCTTTAGACATCTAATATTCTCATAAATCTCCAACTGGTCAGGACGTTCTATGACATCATGCTTTTATTACATCAACTGACTACACTGCAGACCTGTGTCCAGACTCACCAAAGAGTCTATTCATCCAACAAGCCAAGGAAAAATGAGAGATGGACACCACAGATTATCAATATGTCCAAGAACACAATAAAATGTTTTGGAATGAGAACAAACCGTTCCTGGCCTGGTGTCTGTAAAAGTAAAAGAGGAATATTGATTTTCTATGAAGCCCCTCTGTTCTTCTGACCCCACCCCAACCCTTCCCCCTGTCCTCATCTTTTCACCTCTCTCCATCCCCCAGCGCTGTCACAGCCCAAAGAGTCACAAGACAATAAAGAGAAGCGAATAAAGCTGTGTGGTGCTTCCCAACAGACAGAGGATAAGACCAGGTTGCTGTGGCCATGCCAAAGATTTTTTTTTTTTTTGGAGAGACCAGCTAAGAATATGTGTTCTAACCTCCCACACAGTATCTTAGTGAAGGAGTCCCCGATATGGCTGTTTCAGTGTATGGCTGCTCATTAATACAATAAAAAAAAACACCAGGGTGGAAAGTGAGGCATGATTTCTTTATGCATATGTCTGCTGTTTTGTATCACTTCTTAAATTGTTTCTTATGAATCCTTTTCCAGTGTAAGAAATAACATTAAGTTTGATTGTCCTTGCTCTTTCTTACCAGGGGAAGAGGCTGCCTGCTTATTTGTCTGCAGACGTAGAGGAGGGGGAAGTGTCCGACGACGACAGTGCAGATGAAATTGAGGACGATTTCAAGCTCAAGAGCACAAATGTGAGCGACAGAGGCATGGTACCACAGGCTGTTACTGAACATAATTCTCAAACCTGACATATCAGATCAACTGGAATATTTTATCTGTAAATGAATGACAAACAATAATTCTTTCAAAACAGATTCTAGGCAAAATTTCGGTTTACATAAAGGTTCTAATCGGGCAAATAAGCCACCAGCATTCGATGACTGGCACATTGTGCACTTATCCAGGCTTCGGACCAATATGGATCGATATATATTACTATGTTTTCTTTTATTGCTTGATTTCAAATGCATTGCAAGAAAATAAGTCTATAATATATTTAACTAAATAGATTTTTTGATGATGCAGAAATATAAATATGAAATTACTATTCACAAATATTAATAATCAAGTTCACAATTTTTTTTAAATTATCCTTATACATATTATATGAAAATGTAATGTTATAAACTGGGAAAACTCCAGAAGAGAGTCAATGATAGGACAGTGATTTAGTTATTTTGATAGCCTACCTGATGCCTTTCATGTTGTATTCAGCTAAGAAACATGGTTAAAGTGATTTCAAATCAAAGCAAACCAGCCATCCTTAATTACTTAGTTGCTCTTTGTCCCACTGTGACTAGAACATGGGTTAAAGAAGCAATGGTGCAAAGAGAACATCACAGTAGAAAGCCTAGACAGATAAAAGGAATTTGGAATTGATGAGAAAAATTACCTTATTTGATTCTTCACTTGCTGAAGACTTTAGCTTTGAAAAAACACAACGGTTTGATCCCAGATGGTGCACAGTGCATAGTTTCGTTCTTGAATATTCAGTTGAGGGCGTGAGACTGCAGATGCTGTTTGGGCTAATCAGTGCCATTTAAACTGCTGAATGGCAGGGTTCCTCTGAGGTTGCTGCAGTCTATTGAATCAGTCACAGCTTCAGCCCTGTGTGCATTGGTTTTCACAGCAGTAGACATGACAGATGCATAACACAATGTCAGTGGTAGTACTGAGATGACTGATCCAACAGGGATGTGTGGGTAGCATCAGGAAAATCTATAACTTGTATAACTTTGCACAATAAATTTTTTTACAGAGGGATTTGTGGGTCTTGTTCCGAAAACAAGTTACAAACATGTACACTAGTCTACGGAATGATCACTAACACTGGCTTAATATTTATTAGATTTGGAGCATTCTTATACTGTAAAAGAGTAGAAAAAATGTTTTAATCTAAAAGAAGCAGAATAATATCTGACATATTGATGCATTAGGTTATTTTATGAAGTGCCTTTATTGCCACCATCTGCTCCATTTCCATTGGTGTGTGCTAGAAAGCAGCACTTAATATAATTTCAGAAGTTTGTTAAAGTTATCGACCCATTTTTAACTGCAGTTTGGACCCTCAGGAACGAACTGCTCCATAATCTCTCGTCTGTGAATGGTCCATCCACTTTGCTTTAATTACTTCATTAAGTCTAGCTGCTTATACACACAGTTCTTTTTCTAACAGGGCAATGGTCATCATCAAGTGGAGTCTCACATTAGGAAGAAGCTGGACTCTCTGCTCAAAGAGTCCAGAATTGGAGATAAGGAGGATTCGGACAGCTTCAGCATCAGAGCACTACTGAGAGCCACACACCAGGGTCTGCAGAAAAACCTGCGCCAGGTACATATTGTAGCTGTTAAGTCTGTTGTGGACTTTACTCCCTCTTTTAGACTTATCTTAATATATAATTTGTAAGCAAGATGTTTTACTCTAAGGGGTCATTTTGGGTATAATCTAATTGAACCATGTCAAAATACATGAGGAAAAACCCAAAAGGTGCTGCGTTACTTAATATTTAATTGGCCCACTTGCTTCTTCTATATTTAGCAACTTCCTGACGGCCATTTTCAAGCATTGAGACATTGGGGTTTCCTATTCCGTTTGTTGTCACTTGGCTTCTTGGTGGTTCCCTTTACCTCATTCTGTCGCAGCCGATTCTCCTGCACCCATCTTCCTACAGTATTTCTGCTCTATATCTCACATTCTTTTCACTCACATGCAGATATTTTTGTAATGGCTGTTCTATGATGTCGCCCCTCCAACTGAGGTTTTGTGAGATGTAGATGTGCTGTTTATTTAGGTACAGTCATGCTTAGACTCACATTAAACACAAATGAAAACACTTGCCCCTCTCTATCTCCAGGGATCCAAGGGCGTTTTGAAGAAATCTCAGAGCAGGTCTCTAATCACTACGCTTAAACAAAAGGTAGGAATATGCATGTATTTATATGTATTTTCATATTTCTATGCAAAAATCCACTGGCAATACATTTTTATTATGACCATATGAAATAAAAAAGACTTAATTAGATGTTGCCGCCATAAGTTAAACAATAGACAACTAAATTTAATTTAAATGGTAACAGCGTGTAGTAGGATCATAATTAAAACAGCCTTCCTTATCTCCCAGTGCCACTCGTCTGATCGGTGCAGCAGCAGTAGTGCCTGGGCCTATCTCGCACTTACATATGCAGATGAACCATGTGAGGTCTTTATCCAGCTCCTGTGAAGCATGGATCTGTCCCTTTGAGTGCTACAGATTATAGTGTAGCTCTCAGAGGAACACCATCTTCAAATCTATTAAACATTTTGCTTTCTCTCTGCCAACCAATTTCTTGTTAGTATACTCTGTCAAGCTTTACCTGCTGAATATACAGCCCAATATATTAAACAAGCATTAAGGCTTTTCACATGCCTTAATGTTTCTTCTTGAGCCACATTTGATATACGGTTGATCACTGCTAACAGGGAACACCCCATAAGAGCTATTTTTTTATGTTTTTTGTTATCCTATTTTGGTAGAAATATTTTTATATTATTTTAAATTAAGCATTTTTAAACACTCGGTTTCAATCCGTATTCTACCAAGCTTTTCTATTGTTCAGTCACCAGCTTCTGTTCTCATTTGTGTTTCTCCTCTTAGCACGTTATAGTACCTCCTCCCACGTGTGTAAATGTGAGCATGCACGAGTGCATGTAATCTGTTGGCAAGTAGCCTAAACCATGTAATTATTACAACCCGCATACTCTTACAATTCCTTTTCTACCAAACTGCTACTACACAACATTTGTTTAAAATAACACACTAGAACACACGCATTCCCCAAGAGGTTCCATCCTCAGCCCTACTCACTACTGAAATGCTCTGTGTGGGCAGTTTCTACCGTACTGAACACTCTTCACACTAAATGATGTATTTTTCTAGCTTTGCCATTAATAACATATTTATTGCACATGTTCTTAGGCATCATGTCCTACTTTGCATATCTAATGAAACAGTTAAAAATAGACACAGGGCCTTTAGAGCATCTCTATTTGACTGTTAACACGAATGTATGTGCTCTGTCCAGAGACACTCCAAATCCAGGCTGACCTGCCAAAGCGTGGACAAGGAGGACGAGTGTCAGGAGCGGTCTGGGAGGGATGGAGGACAATTCAACAGGTGACCTTTGACCCTTTCAGCACAACTGGGTGTTTGACATTAAGTGTTCAGAAATACTTTATTGAACCCCATGGGGTAAGTTATCCCCTGCATTTGACCCATCCAGTGCAGCTGGGGCCACCTGTCAAGAGCAATGGGTGACTATTTTGGGGACCCATCTCCAGGACTATAGAGGCTACAAGATTTGGCCTGTTGTGCATTTTTTTAGGTTTGAGTTTTATCAATCAAAACATTAAAAATGTTTCATGCTATGCGTAACATTTGTTCTATCTAAGACAATTTTGGGCCACAAATTCAGTTAAACCTAATGTTTCTGTTTATTTTATCAAATGAATAATAATGTGAAACTGAATGTAAAATGTGTCTAGTTACAGTATGGCATGTTTTGCTGTTACAATGCATGGTTTGCTTTAAATTCATGCAGCAGAAGTAGCTACTATGGTTATACTGATATGGAAAACAAAAACAATTATAGCACCCTAGCACTAGTTTCATGTAGGTTATAGATCAGTGTACTATATAACATTTTTTTTAATTCAAATTGAATGAGCTTTTTGCAGAAACTCTGTATATATTTCCCTGTTCTCTCTGGTCCCTGATTCCATATTCATATATGCATGTCTAAAGCATTTGTTAGTATCTCAATGTCTCTGTGACTGACTCTTGATAGCTCACTGTATATGCATGTTTAGTTTACATGTAAGCTCCACTCTTCTGCCTGCACATTGGCTCCTGTTATGCTTTTTGCTTTGATGCTCATTCCTGTGGTTTTCAAGCTGTCTTGTTGATGGGCAGTGTCCCCTGTCGTTTACTGCTGCTCTAAGTCCTTAAGGGATATATACAGTATATATGTGTGTGTGCATCCATCTTCCTTACCACAGTTTTACATGATCTCTGTATCTCTTGTTGCCTTTGGGTACAGATATGGAAGGAAGAGGAAGACCATGAAACTCAGCCGAGATCTCTAACCTCGTGGTGTTTACTAACTCTGTGGCATCTCAGGAGTGTCTAAATGAAGGTATGACATAAGCACATTATACTTTTAAATAAATCTGTGGTAATCTTGACATTTATTCTAAGAAATGTTTGACAACAGGTACACCTGGTGATGTTCTCTCCTTCAGTGAGACCAGAGCTCAGTCTCTTGTAAATCACAAAGCAGAACAGTTTTTGGCCTTTAACCAGAGGCAGCTATCCCGCATTTATCCATCGGCCTATCGGATCGACTCGTCCAACTTCAACCCTCAGTTCTACTGGAATGTGGGCTGTCAGCTGGGTAAGACAGATGCTCTCCTTTTTTACTGCCACACACACACCCTTTATTAGTTATATACTTGTTGTTTCAAGTAAAATTTCCATCAATTTAAATAGATAAGCTCCAAGCAATATAAAATGCAATGAAAAAAAAAACGAACATAATTTGACAGTAGGCTCATAAATCAGATCAATGTCAGAGATTTTTTTTTCCTATTAAAGTTGATGCAACATTTTATAATCTTTTCCATATTTAAACCAAATAAATAACATGACAATTGTGCTTGATCTTTTTCACAAATTATTTAGTTGCTCTATATAAAATATTTATTTGAAGTTAGTTAGGACTGAATGAATAAAATGGCTTTGATATATTATTCAATTGTATTTCCGAATTCTCACCCACAGTGGCCTTAAACTACCAGACAGAGGGCAGGATGATGCAGCTCAATCGAGCCAAATTTATGGTCAATGGAGGCAGTGGTTATGTTCTTAAGCCTCCACCTATGTGCAAAGGTACACATTTTATACAACATTTATTATATTATTATTATTTGCAAAATACCTTCTACTAAAACACACTAAACATCTTCTTTTGTTTTTACATTCAGGCTCTTTTAACCCTTTCAGTGATGATCCTCTCCCAGCATGCCCCAAAAAGCAGCTCATACTGAAGGTCATTAGTGGACAGCAGTTGCCCAAACCCCCAGACTCCATGCTGGGGGACAGAGGAGAGGTACACAGATAAATATAATATATGAATATATAAATATAATAATAATCTAAACGTGTGCATCATATCACATGCTGCCTACAGCTCTTCTTAACTAAGCGCTTTGTTTTGCTAGATTATTGATCCATTCGTTGAAGTGGAAATTATTGGTCTTCCAGTAGATTGCTGCAAGGAACAAACACGTGTGGTGGATGACAATGGTAAGACGATCCAATGTCTTTTAAGAGTGAGAAAAGGTGATTAAATATTTAAGTGTTATTGACTTAAATTAAACAATGAAGACAAAAAAGATCAGCCTTAATTACAAGAACATATTTAATTATTTATTTTTGTGCTGTGTAAAATTGTAAAGTAATATTTTGCATTTTAATATGCTACTTTTTAAAATAAGTATCTGGCAGTCCTGTTGACAGTGGCCATTTTCTCTAGTGACAAATGTTGGGAATAAAATTCTGCTTTTCTTTTCATTTTATTTGATATGTATTTTATATTATTTTGTCAAAGAAATTGGTTGAAGCAGCGGAGTAGAGGTGTGTGACATGTGCCTGATGAAGATAACTTGTGGGGAGGGGAAGTTATCGAGCCCTCTAAGCTCTGTGTTATTATGGGAGAGAAATGTGCAGTGTAAAAAAAAAATACATCACTTGTCATTTCACTTAGACCTCTTTTTGTAGACCTAATGTCTTTTTATATGAAGAGAAATACAATTTTCTGTCTGTATCAGGTTTTAACCCCGTATGGGAGGAGACACTGTCTTTCACGCTGCACATGCCCGAGATGGCTCTGGTACGTTTTCTGGTCTGGGATCATGACCCGATAGGCAGGGACTTCATTGGACAACGGACTGTGGCCTTCAGCAGCTTAATGCCAGGTTTGAAACTTTTTTTTTATCACTTTTTATAATCTTTTACTTAAACATATATATTTTGATTTTTTCTATATATTTCAAAGGTGTGTCTACCACAATCTACCGTTATTGGGATATGTTACAGTAAAATATTACAGCATTCTATGATTTTGTGACACAGTTGCAAAATACTGTGGGGCCACACTGTATGTCATTAACTGGCAGCCATCCTTGTGCATCACATCACTCTCCTCCCTTGGGCCTGCTAAAGGGCCACACTGTGTAGTATTCAGTAGCTTGTGATGTGTTTGATTTGCATAGCCAATATGACCTGTGACTTTGCAGGTTATTTCTGTTGTCTTCATCCTTCACAGTCGTGAACTCCAGATGCCCTTTCCTCAGGCAAATTATATGACAGCTGGGATCTTTCCTTTGACTTACTGTCCTGCTCACACTTCTTCCTCTGTCCTCAACAGGCTACCGACATGTTTACTTAGAGGGTCTGACGGAGGCTTCCATCTTTGTGCATGTGTCAGTGCATGATGTTTATGGCAAGGTAAGCACTGTTAGTCTTGGAGTAAGCCAATATTTATTATTTTACCTTATGTAGTATAGATATAAAAAAAAAAAAAAAAAAGGAATTAACATAACACACCAGTACTATTATTGAGGTGCATTCAATCCTTGTTTTTTAGTGGAGCCCCTTAATCCTGAATCCAAGCTTTACCATTATGCACTTTCTAGGAACACACAAGGTATTCACAAGGGTCTCTGTGCTGCTGCATGAAGCACTAATGCATGTGTTCAGACGCGTGCCATGTCTGAGGCTGTTTTGATGGCATACATTTGTATGACATTAATTCACAAATGTGTATATGAGTGTTTGTTTCAATTTGTCTGGGTTGTTTTCAGTGCTCTTACAATCTTGAAATGCAGCCATGATGTGCATTTGCAAATGATCATCTTGAGAAACAACAGTGCCATCTACTGTTCATTTTTGTTAACGCATGAAATTATTATTTTTTTTCCACTAAAAGAATTTCAAAGAACATGTGCATGCCAATAAACTATCATTCTATAAATGTATTTTAATAGTTCAAAAATTTTTTTTGAACTACTGAAATAACTTCTTATTTGTCAGTGTTCATTTTGTAGATGCACTGACAATTATTTCCGTGTAAACAATTTTATAATGTAAATGTTGATATTACATAGTAATACTAGAACTATGAAAATAACACAGTTGTGTTTCTATCCAACAAGGGAAATCAACTGCGTGGCATTCGAGGTTTCTTCAACCGTTCTTCCAAGTCCTCTGTGGACACAAACACCGGTGGCCTTCGGAAGCGCTCCATCAGTGACCATCTCCTGCGGCGCACGGCCAGCGCCCCAGCCAAAGGCCGCAAGAAGACCAAGATGCCCCCATCCGAGTCTGTGGCCTCCATCTCTGACCAGAAGAACGGGACAGGAGCAACAGCAGCAGGGGGAGGAGTAGGGGAGCAGAGCACTTCGGGACAGGAGACAGGGATAGTGAGACGCTTCCAGCCTCGATCCCCTCTCATCCACAGGCCTATGTCCATGCCCTTGGACAGACTTTTACAAGGACAGTTATCTCTGTGCTCACCTGATGCAGAGCAGCAGGAGACGGGCTCAGACTCTGGCACTGGTAAGAATTCAGCGACCTTTTCACTTTATTTATATTTATCATCATGGGACTGTATGGTATTACCAAAGTAAATAAAAGTAAAATGTGTTAACACAGCAACTATAATTATTATTCTTTTGGGCTTCATTTGTATTGAAGTATTGTTTCTCTAATTTTGAATAAGGATGTTTCTGCATTTTCTTTCCCATTCTGAAACATAACTAAAACTAATCTTCATGAAATCTTAATCTGCCTTTTCTGTCCCATTTTCATTTTCTTTATAGTAGAACACTGATTAGGATGGTCCTTCAGGTAATCTTGAAAATGCATTGATTGATATTTTGTCCAGTCAGTGTATTCTGTGCAGCTGTCATTGGAAGTGACATTTTTGTCACTTGATCCCATTCATTTTCCTCAACTGGTATTTGCAAAGGATATTCTACATTTCAGCTCCCTTTCACAGTACATGACAATCCATCTGTCTTTGTATTGCTGGCATCGTTTGTGGCATATTTTGTGATCTCTATTACTAGGACTCGATTAGTAATATACTTTCATTCTTTTCTGTCCATAGGAGGAGCCCTTTTTAGGCGTCCCAGGTCTTCTTCACTGGACGTTGCCATTACACCAACCACTGAACCAATCTCTACATCCTCCAAAGCAAGTGTCAACCAAACTGATCAACCAGTGGGGACTTCATATCTCGTCATTGGTCGGGAGGAGGGCCAGAAAGAAGCAGACTATGTGAATTATCAAGCAAATGACATTACCCAAAACAGATCCATAATGGCACCAACAAGAACTGAGTGCAGATTTTTGTCAAAGCCTGAATCATTGTCACACAACGCAACATTAACAGTTGTTCCTTCAGTCTCTTCAACTCCAGTAGTTTCATCTATGTCGACGGCCAACGCGGACACGAAATGCCAGAGATCTCTGCATGATAGCACCATTTCCCGACTAATTGATGCTGTGTCCCTAGATGATGACACATGTGGTTCTATCTCCGCTCTGATTGGCCAGTTTGATACCTCGGCAGACCAAAGGAATCTCATACAATCCCCTAATTGCACCTTCTCCATTCACCACCAAACTACCTCCTTTCTCAAGTCACCTTTCAAGACAACATCAACTCCCAACAATTCCCACAGGACAAACCATTTAAGATATTCTACACCATTACCATCCAACAATGCTAATATGCTACATCAGAAGGACATATCCAGCCCGGAAACTGCAGATCTTGAGGAAGTATACACTATTCTGGATGAGGAAGTACTGTTACCTGTCTCTTCATCCAACCTTAACCAACAGATTTCAAGTAGGAATACCCCAGTACAAAGCTTAGCTCCCTCACCAACAAAAGCTCTTAATAATTGGAATAGTAGCAAATACATTGAAGCGGCTGGGGAAAGTATTTATGAGGAAGTTGTTGATCCTCCAGAAAGAATGCCACAAATGGACACACTTAGGTCAAATGCCCCCTTAAGCCCGCCTTTGCAGGACTGTTATAATTTCCCAACTCAAAATGGCTACAATGAAGTGGAGATAAATGTTGATGAGGATCCATTGGATAGGATTATGACTACACCAAAATATGGCAGCCCCTGGAAAGAGCTCACAAGCCCTACCAAACGGCACGCTATCTACCAAAACAATGAGTCACCCACCAAGTGCTACGACCCTGTCAAATCATACGGTGAACGCCAACAAACGGTGATGAATAAATCTCATTTGTCATCTTCACAATGTCCATCCCCGGTTAATACATTTACCTTTAGAGAACCTACTATACACCACTGTATGCAAAACTCCTATAGGCCTAATACATCTCTCCCACTACATCAAAATGGCTATCAAAACAATCAATCAATCAATTCAGAAAGCCACTGCAGAGACTTCAACAGAAATTACACACATAACAAGGAACTGAATTGTAATACTAACAAGATACGAAATATGGCTAATCATGAAGAAGCATTGCAGTATAGATTTAGTTCTTTTGAAAATCTGACTAGGCAGTTAGCAGGAGCCCCAAATAACTGCAGAGATAGCATTTCATCTCCCAGTTTTGTCAGTTCACTGCAAAACCACCTGAGGTATAATTGTATGTCACCCCCTCCACAGTCGCCTCCCGTTCTCAACCCCTATCTCTCATCAAGTAGGACAAATCAGACTTCATTATGTAGTAATAAGCAATTTCTGGAGGCTAGATTTTCCTTGCAAACAAGCTTAGAACTTCCTATTACACAACCAAGCCACAAAGAGTCCATTCCCCCTAGTCAAGCTAAGTCTAAATCTTTAGGTGACTTGACTTCTGAGGACATCTCCTGCAACTTCAAGGGGAAATATCACATCATTAGTCGTAGTTTTGTCACGCCAAAACAAAATCAGACTGGCGTCACAAATGTTGACCATTTGCCAATGCAGTCATGTGACCCCCTAACAGAACAACTTCGCAAACTGGTCACTCTTGAAGGAGATGAGGGTGGTAGGAATGGACTAGACTCACCAAATCATCAGCAGAGGAATTCGCCATTGTTCCATCATGAAACAAGTCCAATGAACGTTGATGAACCTCCACCATTATTAACCCGCCGTTTGTCTTCTCGGAGCCAAAGCCGAGTGCGTAATATCAACAACCGTGCCCGTGAAAGGCAACAGGAGGCTTCCAGGGTGTGGGGAGGTGAACATCCAAACAGTGCCGCCACTAGTATAGGTGGTGTGGTTTTAAGAAATAAAGGGTCTATGTTGAACCCACCAGCCAACCGACACTCCACTGGGTCATACATAGCGGGTTACCTCAGTCAAATAGAGGACAGAGGGCTTCCTGAAGGAGCTTGTACATCTTTGCGTTATGGGAATGATCACTATAGGGATCGCTACTACACAGATGATACTCTGGTACCAGCCAATACTGCAGAGTCTGTGTCTGAGCCGGAGGTGTACTTTCTCCTTCGACTATAGGTTTTTAGAGTAAATGTCTTCAATCTATGTAAGATTTCTTCTTGGCCAAGCCAGAGGATAAAATATTCAGTATAACTAAGCATCTCCAAGTTTGACTGTTTGAAATTGAGCTGTTTGTCTGTTTAGTAAATGATGGTCAACTGAAGTCTGATAATGTATTGTTAATATTTCTGCTAAATGTATAAATGTGCTTGGCACTCCCAAACTGATTGTACAGATCTGTCTCTGTGATTTATTGTCTAACATGTGTATATCGTTAATGGAGCAAAAAAGAATAGGATGTTTGAAACAGAGAAAGAATGTCTTTCTTTGTGTCACATGAATGTGTAGTATAACAAGAATTACACTTTTTTTGTCCCCCAATCATGAAAGCAAATGTGAGGGATACGAGGACCCCTGTACTGACTAAACTAAGTATTTTAAATAAGTGCTAGATTTCTGTAAAATGAAGAAGGGGAAATATGTGGCAACAAATGAAACATTTTTTGACCATGTAGATGTGAAACACTTTCAGTCTTCCTTCTCTTCCAGTGCTGTCAGGGTGTATTTTGTTGAGTCTAATATCCCTCATTGTTTAATTCAACAACTTGTACATTTACATGTATGTATGTTTGTGCATGTTACGTGTGAACATGTCAAGCATGACTATGCACCACTTTTTACAGTCTATGTTGCATTGCTGAATGACATTTGCACAATAACATTTGCATTGGATAAGAAAGAGGACTCTGGTGTAATACAGTATACACACCTCCGGTAGGTAAAGATGTGAAGTTTAAAGGTTTTTTATTTTTATAATTGCTTTGATACAAACTTCAAACTAATTTTCCCGTTGGTTATGGTAATTTCCTTTTCTAAATAAGAGTAATTGTGGGGACTGCAGTTGAACTGAATTTTTAATTTTTTTCTATTGTTTCAGTGTTCCACCATACTTTATTCTTTGTATTGCTGCTCATCAAAGGAGTGTGAGCAATTTCCTACCAATGCAATAAATCTTGAGTATTTGATTTCATTCTGTGTTTCTGTGATTTGTTGCACTAATTTCATTAGTTATTGCACCGTACATGCTGCAGTGAAAGTGCAAAATATTTTAGTTGAACAAAAGGTCAACTTCAGTGTTATTTCAAAGATGATCAAGTTTTTCTAATATTGTGTCCTAAAGGTTTTTTTTTTCACTTTGCAGGTAAATAAGTACAGGTAAATACAGAGTTTGAGCTGAGTGGTGATTGCACAGAAACACATGGTTGTCCTGTCCCTCATGGAATCAGATGGATAATGGGATGTAATTGCTCATGAAATTACTTTAATAGAGACAGCAAATGACACACCTGTTGCTCAGGGCATTCTATTCCCCACACTCACCAGAATCACTAGTGTGCAGAGTCTGAACCTTATGTTGCATATCTATTGTATGACCACAGCAATTTTTTTGTTTATGGACCATTATAAGGCAGAAATATAATAATAAAAAATAGAAACTATTCAAATAAAAAGAAACAAAATGTAATGTTCATGTGATTTTGACAATAATTATTTTGGTTGAGTTTATTTGTTGGAGATCATCTTATTACAGCTTACAGCTTTTGGCTATCAAGAGCTGATTCTATCATTTGACCCAAGAGCAGCTTGTGCAAAGGCAGACACAGTTTTTATGGACAGTGGATCAAGACATTCAAGAGACTGTTTTTTCAGAAGAAATGTTTTCAATAGAAGTGGAGCAGTCAACAATTGAACAATTTAATACAATTTAGTCTAGTGAATCTTTTAAATTATTATTATTTTTTTCAATCTATATAATGAATTTCTAATACACGATAAGTTCCACACATGAGTTTTTTTCCCCTTTCAGTTGTCACAGACAATCCATCAACCCAGTAACACACACCCAACCTCAGTGACGGACTCTAGGGGGGAGTCATTTTGGTGTTTGTGTCATTTGATGTTCAAAACATTTTGCCCTTTATAAAAACTTCAGTCAGACCTGGGTTAGTGCACTCAGACGTCAGGTGTACTAGGCTGCTGTGTAGCATTATCAGTGGTAGTGTTAGTCTTATCAGTTATCTAATAGGATTTTGTTTTCTTTCAGTGTGGTTGCTTTCTTGTATGTAGCTGGTCATGTAATACAGCTGTATTATATTTAAAGATTTGTTTTTAGTCAAATATCAAGAGCCATGTGTTGGATCCATGGACCTGACCTGGACAAGCTGTTATTCATTCTACTGCTTCTGTGTGCAACCAGTGGACAGAGCTTTGCAATGCTGTGCTCACGCTATTACAATGAAAACCAGAGAGGGCTTTCTCTAAATGGGGATGTCATTATTGGTGGGCTCTTTAACCTGTTTTACATACCATCTTATCCTGGAATCCTGAATTTTACAACACAGCCGTACTATGAGTCATGTAAGGGGTATGTTAATCATTTAAATATTGATCTGGAGTATACTGTTTATTGGTATTCATGCTGTATGTGTGATGATAATTTAATTTGTCAATCAATTAGTGGGCTATCTTAATGTGTATGTGTGTTTGTGTTTGCTTGTTTTAATATCAGTTTGGAACCCGGGACCTTGCAATCTATATATGCAATGGCGTTTGCAGTGGAGGAAATAAATCTTAACAGCAGTCTTCTTCAAGGAGTGAAGCTTGGATACCGAATATTGGACAGTTGTAGCCGATACCCCTGGGCTCTGACAGCTGCAATTTCATTGATTAGTGGTAGCGCTCCCAAATGTCAATCAGAAAGCCTTGATGAAAGGGAACCTAATGAGAATGAAGGTACTTATTGTTTTAATTGGATTATATTATATATTATGTCGGGCTGTAAAAAAAATAAAAAAAAATAAAATATATATATATATATATATATATATATATATATATATATATATATATATATATATATATATATATATATACATACACACACATTTTATTTATTTATTTTTCTTTTAGAAGTGCAAGTTGCACCTGTGATAATTGGAGCATCTTCTTCAACCATAGGAATAATGTTGTCCAACATATTAACTTCATTTTCAACTCCAATTGTAAGGATGATTATTATGATAAACAACTGACAAAGTTTTGTTGCTGTTGTTCTTTAACATAATGTACGTTTAACAGATTAGTTACCTTGCAAGTTGTCCTTGTCTGAGTGAGAGGACAAAATACCCAAACTTCTTCCGAACAATCCCAAGTGATATCTTTCAAAGTCGGGCAATGGCACAACTGGCCATACGCTTCAAATGGTCCTGGGTTGGAGCAGTGATAGCAAACAATGATTATGGACACCTGTCATTTCAGGTGATAACAGACATATACTAATATGCTTAAACTTGAATTTATTTTGTACAAACAGCACTATATGTTTGGTCTCTATTTTCCAGGTTTTTCAGAAAGCAATTGATGGAAAAGGCATCTGTGTTGATTTCATTGTTGCTGTCAGTCGAGAAACTATTAAGAGTGATGCTGAAAAAGCAGCATTAACAATACAAGCTTCCACTGCTCGAGTGATTTTGATATTCTGTTGGTATACAGATGTTAGAGAAGTGTTTATACAACTGGCAAAACGAAATGTAAGCACACCAAAATTATTTTATCTTGCATAAGAAAATTATATTTCTTTTCTTCAGATTACAGACAAACAGTTTCTTGCCAGTGAAGCTTGGAGCACAAGTAAGGATATTATTGGAAATGCAGATCTTTTAAAGGTGGCTAATGGCGTTATCGGTGTGGCCATTCGCAGTGCAGAGATACCTGGATTCGAAAAATATGTTCGCAATTTACACCCATCCCAAAGACCACACGATGAGTTCTTAAAGGAATACTGGGAAACAGAGTTTGGCTGTACTCCTCTGGCTTCATCCTCCTCTCCCCTTCCTCCCTGTAATGGAACAGAGTCCCTGTATGAGGTGCAGGGTCTCTTCACTGATATGTCCCAATTAAGGGTCACGTATAATGTTTATATGGGAGTTTATGCAGCAGCTCATGCCATTCACAGCCTTCTGTCCTGCCCCAAGACTGAGGCCTCTGCTGCCACGTCCAACTGCTCCTCTCCTCAGAGTGTCACACCTGCACAGGTAATGCCGATGTGTAGGGCATTTGTGGAGTTTTGTTTACAGTTTGTGACTTTTATATCCATGTAAAAAGCTTTTGCAGCACTTGAACAAAGTTAAAATTTCCACACCACATGGAGAATCATTTAGCTTCCAGGGGGCTGACATTCAACCCAAATTTGACTTGGTCAACTGGCAGAAGACTCCTGAAGGGTCACTCAGACTGGTTCTAATCGGACGAGTGGATGGCTTTGACATTGTTCTGAATGAAACAGCAATTCAATGGAGCACAGGATCAAGTCAGGTAAATCTGTTTACACTGAAATGCAAATATAGTTTGGCTTACACAAAACCAACTTACTTTATTCCTAAGGTCCCTGTGTCTGTATGCACAATGAGCTGTGAGCCTGGAACTCGAAAAGCCATACGTAAAGGTGAACCTGTCTGCTGTTTTGACTGTATTCCCTGTGGGGATGGGGAAGTAAGCAACAAAACAGGTGTCATATTATAACCAGTGTTCACATATTGATAGTATCACTGACCCAGTCCATTCATGACCATGATGATGACCATTCCTTCTGTGTTGTCTCAGACTCTCTACAGTGTGACCGTTGTCCACCTGAGTTTTGGTCCAATCCTGCCCGAACGTCCTGTATCCCTCGACAGCTGGACTTCCTCTCCTTTAATGAAACTCTGGGCATCACTCTAACCACAGTGGCTGTGTCTGGAGCTGTAGTGACCACTGCAGTCTTTGTGGTGTTCCTTTACTACCGACAAACACCTATGGTACAAAACCATATTTGTCTAGAGTTTGTACTAAAAAAGAGAAATAATATTTTTTTAAATATTATAAATGATTATTTCAGGTTCGAGCCAACAACAAAGAGATGAGCTTCCTACTTTTGGTGTCTCTGAAACTGTGCTTCTTGTGCTCTCTGGTGTTCATTGGTCGACCATCGGTTTGGTCGTGTCGTTTCCAGCAGGCCGCCTTCGGCATCAGCTTTGTGTTCTGTGTGTCCTGCCTTCTGGTTAAAACCATGGTTGTATTGGCAGCATTCCGCTCAGCACGACCAGGTTCAGAGACTTTGATGAAGTGGTTTGGTCCTCACCAGCAGAGAGGGAGTGTAGGCTTCTTCACCACTATACAGGTGTGATACTGCTATTATTTGTGCATTATTGAATATTACTGAACCCCTAACTTTATTTTAAATTTTTCCAGATCCTCATCTGTATTGTGTGGCTGAGTGTCAGTCCTCCAGAGCCTCATGTGGACCTGGGTGTGCAGGGGTCAAAGGTCACTCTGGAGTGTGCCATGGCGTCTGTGCTGGGCTTCTCTCTGATCCTGGGATACATTGGGCTGCTGGCCTGCACATGCCTCCTCTTGGCTTTTCTTGCTCGAAAACTCCCAGACAACTTCAATGAAGCCAAACTCATCACTTTCAGCATGTTGATCTTCTGTGCTGTTTGGGTGGCCTTTGTTCCTGCCTATGTCAGCTCTCCTGGAAAATATGTGGTTGCTGTAGAGATTTTTGCAATTTTGGCCTCGAGCTATGGTTTACTCTTTTGCATTTTTGCACCAAAATGTTATATTATTCTATTCAGTCCTGAGAGAAACACCAAGAAACACTTAATTGGAAGATAAGAAGCATAACAATATTAATATATATTGTTTTCTTTATTGCATATCTTATCCTTTACGAGGAACACTGTACCTGGTTCTTAATTATATGGATAAAAATGTTTGCCCTTATTTACTTGTTGTGATGCCCAGTTCATCCACTAGATGGCAACCACATACTATGAATAAGGTTGACATGCTCCACGTCTCGCTTTCTCGCATTCTTTTTTCACTGCTTCACCTTTGCGATTGTATCATTCTGGTGATGATTATCAAATGTTTACCATAATAATATTGTTGCATAATAGTTCAATCTGTAAAGATTCCCCATATTTTAAAAAT